GGCATCAGACCAGCAACAACTTCCCCGAGCATCAGACCTGAAACAACTTCCCTCAGTAGCAGACCTGTAACATCTTCCACTGGTACCAGACCTACAACACTTTCCACTGGTACCAGACCTTCCAAATTTTTACCTGGGAACAGATCTGAAAAACTTCCCCAGGCACCCGGATTACTGCTCCCTCCACCAGCACTTCATGTACAACTGTAACACCTCCACAGCGCACCAGGCCATATCTTTCTTCCAACAAAAAGAAGTCTAAAAAGAACACTTGCCGGAGGTCACCTGAATATTGACTAAAGTGATAAACTCGGTTGTGCATCAACTTTTATCCTTTCTGTTTGTTCCAGTTAAGATTTAGAAGCCATGCCATGGACAACAAAAAGTACATGTAGATGATTTACAGTGATTATTTTGATGAATTTAAAATTTCTTTCTTCTCTCACAATTAATTGGTTGAACCTTTGTAACCGTACTTGTGGGAGTAAAATTAATCTATGTTGATCGATGATTATTTTATTTTCATACTCCTGAGAACGTGACCAACTGATAACATTTTTGTTATGAGTATTCCATAATTTTCAGTAACGGATGTATTGTGAATAAATGGAGTAATGAAACAGAGCTGACACTACATTGTTACAAATTTATTAATGGATTTGGGGTGAGCTCGCTGCATTTTAAGACGAACAAGCCCATGAAAACTCTCCCCTATCTTCATAAAATATTTGAGCTAACTCTTGATCAATTTTTTAGCTTCCTACCCATCAATGGCAGGCTAAATTCGGGTTTGGGAGCATGATACTGGTGAACTTTGTAACAAGAAAAATTCATGCTCTGTAAAGTAGCGTAAATTAACCTTTACAGTGCCTTTAGACGGGATTTACGCTGTTGTTTAAAATCAGCTTTACGACACATTTACGCCAACTTTACGTCAAGGGTTAAGGTGTTCTTTTACGCAACTTTACGCCTTCCATTAAAGGTGGCGTAAAGCTCAACTTTACATTTCGTAAAGTTAGCGTAAAGTCGCGTATATCCGAACTTTACGTTACATTTACGTGGTCTTTATGCCAACGTAAATTTGCTTTTTCATGCTGTGTTAGTTTCGGAATAAAACAGCAGCACTTTCTTCAGGATTTCACGGAATCAAAACCAAGAGTCCGAAACTCGGAACCTTAATTTCCGAATAAAAAAGTACCGGTTTCTTCAGGATTTCACGGAATCCAAACCAGGGTTCCGAAATTCGGAGCCTTAATTTCCGAATAAAACAGCACCGCGTTCTCCAGGATTTTACGGACTCAAAACCAAGGGTCCGAAATTCGGAGCCTTAGTTTCGGAATAAAACAGCACCGCTTTCTTCAGGATTTCACGGAATCAAAACCAAGGGTCCGAAATTCGGAGCCTTAGTTTCCGAATAAAACAGCGCCGCCTTCTCTAGGATTTTACGAACTCACAACTGACCAAGGGTCGAAATTTCCCAGCGTTAGTTCCCGTACAAAACAGCAATGCTATAATTCTTCAAAATTCTTGTTCTTCCAAACCATGGATTCTGAAGGAATACTTCACCTCATTTGTAGTGATTTCAACGGAGTCAAAACGAAGGGTCCGATATTGAAACCCTTGGTTTTTTGATAAACCCTTCAGATCCTCCTTAAAAGAATAATGAATTATAATGTTCATTTCTGAGGATCAAATTTAGCTATCCGTTGGAATAAAGACATTTTCTGTGCACTCATTGTTCGTTGTTTCACTGTCCGTAAACGGATTCGAAGGCGAACGATGAGCTTAAAATTTCTCCTGGCAGTTTCAAATATAATAATAAAAAAAAAAAAAAAAAAATACATTGATATTCTACAAATTCCACTGAAAACGCGAAATAAAGCTCGTTTTTACAATATAAAATGGCCCTCCGATTTATTTAAGCGAGATTGTATTTTTTGTGGAATACTTACACAGAAAAAGCTCAAAATTACATTTTTCTGCGGAGTTTTAATTTTGGAAAAACTGAAAACGGTTTGAAAAGCGTTTAAGTTAATAAGAAGAAACAACAACTCCAAAAAAGCTACCTTTATCACTAATGAACGTGTTTAGAAATTGAAACTCTTTTGTTTCCTTCTACAGGAAGGGAAGTAGTGGAGACCAGGATAAACCGCGCTCGAACCCAGAGTGCCAAATTCAGACAGGTAGTTCGCGATATGACAGCTGCCTTAGAGGACGAGCAGCACCAACATAGAGAAACACTAAAAAAGCTTGAGGAGGAAATAAAGGATCTGCGTAAATTACTGTTACTGGAAAAGGTCGTAGATGGTACAAAAGCTATGGAGACGAGAGTTCAGGAAATAGAGACCACACTTAAACTGCTGAAAGAGTCAACTGAAAACAGCGTGAAAAACGCTGTAGTGCAAAAGACGGAGCACCTGATGAAGAGCGTGTGCGATCAAATGGAAGAAGACTTTCGTACGCTTATTAACGAAATCTTCGAAAAGATGTCAGAAGAACACAAGGAATCAGTCGCCAAATTGACAGACTACAATAACAATGCCGAATTGCAGAAAACCGCTGGGTGTGAACAGGGAATGTGTTTTAATTCACCGAGAGAGGGAGAATTCGCAATGGTTGTGGACACTCTTTCAAGCTCGGAAAGACAAGAAAACGCGACATTACCTGTAGACTTGAAGCAGTCAAAGTCTGAAGGTAAGTTTGCCTTGCGCGTATTTCTGCAAATCACTAATACCTGGGACCAATGTGTGTTGATGGGGCCATCCTACAAATGCGTAGCTCTTGAAAACTATTCTTTGGTTTGGAAGAGTTTTTATATTATTTTTAGCATTATAATAAAAAATCAAAATTTAAGTGACACAATTGACGCCGATTAACGTTTTATCAGCTTGTCAATTGCAAATAGGTGTCTTTACAGACTCAGAGATTTAATCAAAAAGCAACATCGTTTATCTATTTGACAAGGTCGACAAATCTATGGGACTGATAGAAAAACTACGAAAAAAATCACTCCCAACATTCTCCACTGAGAAATTTTGTGTATTTAACACAACTTACACGCTGTATGGCTGGAATTATATGCCTTAGCTCACTGTACACACCCCAAAAGAGATATTCTCTAAAATAACACCGCTTTAAGGTTACAGTATACCCTCAGGGGTGTCTCGCGCGCAAGCGATGTAGCGCGTGTAGTTTAAGCTGTAGATACCTAAACCCCTATATC